GGCTGCCCCATCCCTGGCAGTGTTCAAGGCCAGGTTGGACACAGGGGCTTGGAGCAACCTGCTCTAGTGGAAGGTGCCCCTGCCCGGGGCAGGGGCTGGAGCTGGATGAGCTCTAAGCTCCCTTCAACCCAAACCAGGCTGGGGTTCTATGCTTAAGAGCTTCTGCCCAACAAGGACTGCACTTTCACCTCCTTTACTAACAGGGCCATGAACTGGGGCAGGGAGGGACACACTTCCAGCCCCATAAAGCAGCTGGAACCCTCTTCCTTGGCCCCCTCGACCTGAGCTTCACCATCCATGAAGACTGACCCACAGAAACTCTCCTGCCAACAAAGTGAGCCACAAACAGAACCACCACCTGGAGTTGCCTTCCTGAGGCTGCTCCCGGCCATGCTGCTGGAGGGAAGCAAGAGCTGGGCCATGTGCTGGCTTTAGAGAGGATAAGCTGTGCCACACAGATGGTAACTCCTCCTCTAGAGCAGCTTAACTTCGAGTGTCTTTGTAGCAAGAAAAGAAATTGTTACAGTTTAGACTGAACAAAGAGGATCAGGGAACAAGGCTGGGCCAGGAAGTCCTCTGGGAATTAGTGGCTTGCTCCTCATCCTTCCACCACCAGTGGGTTTGGCTCTATTCCTCCCAAAGTAAAGCGGGGGACAGAGGCTGGAGTATTTTACACAGGGAGTGTTTGCACAGAACCACCTCAGCCAACTGACCCCTCAGCTTGTGCTTTCCTCAGGAAAAACAAACAGGGATGTTGGGTTGGAAGCAGGTCAGTAAAAAACCACCACCAGCTCCTGGGAACCTTTTCTCTGTCTCCATCTGCTGATCTCCATCAGCTCCTTTAACCCGGGGTTACCCACACTCCTGCACACAGAGCACAGGGACCTGCCAGAACCACTCCTCTGCCCACAACCCCTCAGCTTGTGCTTTCCTCAGGAAAAACAAACAGGGATGTTGGGTTGGAAGCAGGTCAGTAAAAAACCACCACCAGCTCCTGGGAACCTTTTCTCTGTCTCCATCTGCTGATCTCCATCAGCTCCTTTAACCCGGGGTTACCCACACTCCTGCACACAGAGCACAGGGACCTGCCAGAACCACTCCTCTGCCCACAACCTGCTCCCTCAAAGCTGTCGTGTCACCCACTGCTGCCCGAAATCCTGCTGCTGCCAACACCCTCCGGCCGTGTGGCTGCATCAGGGACAGGGCTGGGATACACCTATTTCCAGCCTCCAGCCACCAGAGGGAAGGCAGGGATAAGCCTCCTCCATCCGCCTCCTCCTGACTTCCCACAGCCTTTGCAGCTGGAGCAGCTTTGCTCAGTGCCCGGAGCAGTGAGGGGCAGAGGTGTGCTGGTAAAGGCTTTGTGGCACCACATCCTGGGGGCTCCTCACCGTTTGCAAACTGTGTGGAGGCAAATCTCGTCAAGAGAATTCCAGCTCCTTCGATTAAAGCCAGGAGAATTCCTCCCATGGCAGCAGATCCCACCATGGCAACGGGGCCATCTAAAAATCAAAAGCACAAAAGACCACTTTTGAGCCCCCGGTGCACGTTCAGCTCTTGCTTTAGTTGTTCTCTCTCCTAGAAGCAGGCTCAGAAGCAGCCGTTCTGCATCCACAAAGCCTCACTGGCGTCACCACTAAAAGGATCCCGATGGAGCAACTCCCCCCCTCCACAGAAACAAAGGACCTGGGTAATGTTTCAGTGCTTGTTGCTTCCCTGAGCACAGGACAAAAGCCTCAGATTCTCTTTCCAGTTGTCTGAGAAAGGAAATCCCAGTTTGGGGATCACAGTTGCTTCACTACAATGACGAGCACATTGATAGTACAGAGGTTTTCCAACCCATATCCTCAATTCCTTACTTCTTGCAGCTAATATGGCTCCAGTCAGGGCTCCGCTGGTGATGGAATTCCAAGGATCCTCCTTCCCTCTCATTCTGACCATGCTGCAGTCAATCATGGAGAAGAGGCCTCCCCAGACAGCAAAGCTACCTGTGAGAAACAACACAAAACCCGCTTTAGGGAAGGCAGAGAAGCCAACTCTGCTGCAGGCCCATCACCAGGAGGTGGCACAGCACCAGCGCAGGATGTGACACGGAAACATCCCAGCAAAGAACCAGTGCTCGAGGCCCGGTTGGACACAGGTTGGAGCAACCTGCTCTAGTGCAAGGTGTCCCTGCCCGGGGCAGGGGTTGGAGCTGGAGGAGCTTTAAGCTCCCTTCAACCCAACCCAGGCTGGGGCTCTGCAGTGATTTAGTCCTTGTCTCAGCAGCCAAGAGAAGCAATTCAGCTTCTAAACTGAGCTTCCCCATACTCACCTCCCAGTTGTGGAGCTCTTGTTTTAATTGCTGTCAAGCTGCCCCGCAGCCGGTGGTTTACACCCTACAGGAAAGGAGAAACAACACTTACAATGAGAGTGAAGCCTCAGAGCCCATCTGAGTGCACAGCACAAACCTGTCTCCAAGGCAGCTGTGAGCAGGAGCTGACAGAAAACACATCTTCCACATCCTATAGTACTTATCACAGCCTTATAAATCCCTGTCAACTACAGAAAGGAATGAGAGCGTCAGGCAGGAAACACTTTAAGATCAGAGCGTGTCTGAGTGGCCTGTAGGGGTTGAACAGGACATTAAATGCTCAGCAAGAGAAGCCAGTTTATTTTCCAGGTGCATCATTCCTTTGTTCCTATCTGGTGCTGGGTCACTTGACACACTTTGCACAGCCAACAGCAGCAGCTGCTGCAGGTAACCCCAGGCAGGAGACTGTGCCCATGGAGAACAGGGAAATCAACCCAGAGGAAGAGCACCACGGGCTGTGTTAGAGGAAAACCACACGTTGCCATTTGGTCTATCTCAGTACAATCACCTCGACCCTGTTTCAGATGCCCACAGAGCAGGAGCAGTGTGCTCAGCTGGAGGCTCTCTGGTTGTCCCAAATTCAGTCATTCAGGCCTGGAGCAGCTCTGCTCTGGAGCCAGGCTGAGAGGGCTGGGCTGGGGCAGCTGGAGAAGAGAAGGCTCCTGAAGGGGACACCTTAGAGCAGCTCCAGTGCCTAAAGGGGCTCCAGAAAACCTGGAGAGGGGCTTTGGACAAGGTCCTGGAGGGATAGTCCCTGTACACAGAAGGATGAAGGATCCATGTGGATCCTGAGCTGCTCCTCAGATGGACCCTCCCTCCTGTTCTGGATTGATGACACGGGGGTTGTAACCAGTGCCACCCACAGGGATTTCTCCTGTGGCCAGCGGGGCCCTGCACCACAAGCAGGCTGCTCCCTGAGCACGCGCCCAACTGGTGACTTACCACTGGGGAATTCCTGAAGCCCTTGATAGCCTGGAAGATGCCCCCCCCGATGGCTCCCATGGTGAAGGCGCCTCCGCAGTCATCCACTATCCTCCAGGGACTAGAGAAAGAAAGGTGAAAACACTCAATGACATCATGGGAAGTGGTGCCAGAAACTCCTGTGGAGGCGCTGCCCCTGCACCGAGTGTCCCAGGAGCATGAGGCCAGCCTGCCAGGGGCACAGCCTCACAGCCACCCAGTCATAAATCCTCCAGGAAAACCAGCTGGACCTTTGGGGAGAGCCCAAGGACCCACCTCCCGGCAGTGGCAGTGGCAGCACCTGCATAAACACCCCCCCAAAGAGCGGG